AGGCCTCCTATGAGTGAGACTCCCTCCCCTCCCTCCCTCCCTCCCTCAGATTGTTCTTAGCCGAAGCCAGGTAATGGCCCTGGTATCTCAAATCATTTCTCGAATCATCTGTATAATTCTATATGGGACGCTGGGCCCGGTTCCCAGCACGTGTTGCTCCCCACGAATAGATTGGAGCTATTTGTCCCAAAAAAAAAAAGAAAAAAAAAAAGAGTGAAACACCCTCCCACCCTTGCTCATCATTACTAACCCCTGTGCATCCCTACTCCCAACCAAGGTACCACCTTAGTGTTTTTATGCCCTAGGATCATCACCCTTCTTTTCTAGTGACCTGACCGGACAGTTTTCTAGTGACCTGACCGGACAGTGGGTATAGGCATCTCAGGGCTAAGCAGGTCCTGAATCTGTAATGGATTCATGGATAAATTCATGCTATGATGCATGCATGCGTTATGTATATGTACGTCTGTGAGTGCGGAATATAGATTGGACGGATGAGATTGATTTGCACATGGAGGCATGAATTTGATTTTTTTGGATGGAATTGTTGACGAGTTTGTGAACAGATTCATGATTGAAGTCTTAGATGAATTTGTATATGAATTTGTGGCTGATGAATTTGTGAAATGAACATGGGCTGAACATGGTCGGCAGGGATCGTCGCTACAACGGATGTGACCGAGGCGTTCACGGGTGTGGATATTGCAATTATGGTGGGAGGATTTCCACGCAAGCAAGGAATGGAGAGAAAGGAGGTGATGGGGAAGAATGTCTCCATCTACAAGGCGCAGGCCTCGGCACTCGCAAAATTTGCCTCCAAGGATGTCAAAGTGCGTGGGTGTCCTTCTCTCTCCTTTCTCTCTCTCCTTTCTCTCTCTCCTTTCTCTGTCCTTTCTCGCTCTCCTTTCTCACTCTCCTTTCTCTCTCTCCTTTCTCTCTGTCCTTTCTCGCTCTCCTTTCTCACTCTCCTTTCTCGCTCGCCTTTCTCTCTCCTTTCTCTCTCCTTTCTCCCTCTCCTTTCTCTCTCCTTTCTCTCTCTCCTTTCTTTTTTTTTGGGGGGGGGTGTTTTCTCTCTGTCTCTCTTTCATCTCGGTTTATTCTCAAAAGACAGGAGTAGGTAAGTAAACAATTAAATACCACCCCCCCCCCAAAAAAAAAGAAAAAAAAAGAGAAAAAAGATACGAAGTTTGGAAGATAGATCTCGCCCTTGTCCATTCTCATTGCAATAGTACTAGACCAGAAAGAGCTCTCCTCCCGGCCCCCCCCCCCCAAAAAAAAAAGAAAGAAAAGAAAGAAAAGAAAAAAAAAGGAAAAAAAAAGAAAAAACGAAAGGAATGAAAGGGCCAAGGTACTTATGGAGTCTCCTACTTTTTTTTTCTGTGTTTTTTTGTTTTGTTTTTGGTGCAAATGGTTGCAGGTTGTTGTTGTGGCAAATCCGGCGAACACGAATGCACTCGTGCTGAAGGCGTCCACTGAGGGGAACATCTGTCCCAAGAACATCACCTGCTTAACTAGACTGGATCATAACAGGGCATTGGCGCAAATTGCGGAGAGATTGGGGGTCACCAGCAAAGATGTGAAGAATGTGATCATCTGGGGCAACCACTCCTCCACACAATATCCTTCCA